CAGAGCGGGAGGGAGGTGGGTGCGAAGGTCAGGCGGAGAGCGGCGGCGCTGCGGCTGGGGAGACTGGAGACAGGGGTGGGACTGGATCTGGATTCAGATCCAGGTCGGGGGGGGACGGGACTGAAGAGACTGGGTTGGGTTGGACCCAGGGTGGGGGGAACTGGGGAGACTGGTTTGGGGGTGCAAGGTGGGAGGAATGAAGGCACGAGGTCCTGGTGCGGTGACAGGGCAGAGGGAGAGGTGGCGGGGGTCACAGGTCCGGCGTCTAGCAGCAGTGCTCAGCTCTAGCTCACAAGCTGGACCAGAGATGTGGCAGCAGCGGTAGCTTCATTGCTATAGTTACCAAACCTGAAGCAATGAACGCTGCCACCACCTCCCCTACCGCCACATTTCCAGGCCTGTGGGGAGCCCCTGTGACACAGCCTCACAGGCCAGTTTCTGCCAGCACACCTGGGTCCATATGGAGCCAGGCTAGCACGCTGGATCACACCTGTGGACCAACCCTGCATACCACCCCGTGCTGGATCTGGCCCACAGGCCACACCCAGCTACAGGATCTGACCAGCCCTATACCACTCATTTGGCCCATATGGCCAAAAGATTGGGTACCACCAGTGCACAGCATTGGGAAAAGTACAGTGCATCCCATGTACATGCATAGCATGTATAAGATATACTTCCCATAAATGCCTTACATCCTGCCAGCCCCTTATTGCTGCCTACTGTTTGTATTAGGTTACCTGTGTAGAGTTAAGTGCGTATGCTGTTTACGCCAGTGGTTCTTAACTTTTTTGGAGTTGAGGCACCCCTTGCTGAATTTCGGGCACTGCTCAGAATATTCTAGCTCTTAGTTTTCACTTGTTTTTTAACTACAAAAATAGTGTTTTTTTCTGTTGCAAATGACTCGGAAACAGGTCGGGATGACTTTTAACACTGTTGATTCCTATTTGAAATCTCTGGGTTTATTCTGGGAATTATGCCTGCATGCTGAGCAGTGCTAACACCAAGGCACCCTTGAAAGGATCTCGAGGCATCCCACGGTGCTGCAGAACCCTGATTAAGAATCAGTGGCTGAAGTGCATAGTATCTTCCAGCCCCTCTGTCTGCCTTGTAACTAACTGTTCTCCAACCCCAAAACTATTAGAAACCTTGAAAACCAACAGGACTGAGTCAGTTGTGGAGCTGTTGATATTAAAGCACTGACAGGAGTATAAACAGTACTTGTTAAATACAGCAGTGTTGTGGTGCTAGGCTGGCAAGCATGACTAACTCCTGTCATTTTCAAGGCTTCTAACAGGAGTCTCAAAACTACTTATTAAGCCTTGACAATGAAGTGAGCTAGTCAGTTTTGAGCCTGCTAATACCATCACACTGACTATTCTGTACAACTGTATGAGCACTGTTTGCTTTAAATTCGGATAGGTGCATACTCAAGGTATGTGCATAGGTTCAGGTTGGGTTTGGGTTTTTTTTTGGGGGTGGGGGGGTTGTACACCATATTACAGACTCCATTTCTCCTGTCAACACTGTAAAAGGGGATGTTGAAAAAGGTACTGCAAAGTTCTGAAACAATGAGTTTACACTTGGAAAACACTTTACAACATGAGGCTGAAGGAACTCAGTCTATTTTGTCAAGAAGGTCTTGATAAAGATAATGTCCTAGTCTTTAAGTACCTCTGTGAGGAGAACAGTTTTGGTAGTAATACGACTCTTAAGTCTAGCGTAACAAGTTCAAAGTGTTGGAAACTAAAGCCAGACAGGTTCTGATTAAAAGAAAGGGGCAATCTTTTTTTAATGGTGCGGATAATTAACCCCGGGAGCAAATTACCCATGGATGTGAGAGGTTATCGATAACTTGATGTCTTTAAATCAAGTTTAGGTGGGTTTTTTTAAAGATCTGGCCCAAGTCAAGCTGAGGTTCTGGACTTAATACAAGAATCACTGATGAAAAATCTATGGCTGGTGTTATGTAAGTGGTCAGACCACTAATCTTCCAATCTGGCTTTACAAGCTCTGAATCAGATCTCAGAACAGATAGTGCCTCTTCAGCAATTGAGAGTTCATTATTTTTCCTTTGTATGATTCTGCAAAGGAAAAACAACTGCTGCTCCAGATGATGAATTGGCCTGACCTTGGTCATGCATTAGAGGTGGGTGGCAATCACTATAGGAAATCCATCCTTAAACAAATTCATGGATTTTCGCTAGGTTACAGTAGGTTAGGGGAACTGCAAAATATAATAGCTACAGGTCCTTCAACGAGAAAAAGAGTACCTTCAGCCTCCTGAGCTGGATCCTTGCGTGGTATAAACCAACCCAGGTCAACTGATTTCTGTAAAACTAACTGATCCCATCTGCTGGGATCCAGTCCACCCAGATGCCCATACTGAGTAGTGCCAGGCTTTGGGACCCATCTATAGATATCTCGATAGATAGATAGATATCTCGATAGATAGATAGATAGATAGATATAAAGAGCTTAGTCAGTCTGTCTGTGTGTCTGTCATAATGCTCTTTAAAATGTGAATAGCTAGAAAACTGTAGGAGAGAGAACATTTGTGTCTTCAGAGAAGTTTCCTTGCTAAACCTTAGCATTGGTTTAGTGACCATGTCAGGATTATCCCTAGTTCCATAATTGGGGGAAAAAGTCAGGGGCCAGGGCTGTTTCTACCGAGCTCCTCCCAGAAGGGCACCGGGAGCCCGGCACGGCGGGGAGGGCTTAGGGAGGGGTCAGCTGAGAAAAAGTGGGAGCCGGGCAGAGGCACGAGGCAGTGGGCGAGTAGCGGTGGCTTGGTCCTGAGCCTTGAGTAGGGAAGGAGGCACCTGGGGGCAGCGCGGAGGAAACCCTGGGGGAATGGGTGGCTGTTGCAAGGCACAGAGTTCGTCTGCTCTTGCCCATGCCCAGCAAAGAGGCATGCAGGCAGCAGCATGGGCAGGTCCACCTCCAGCCTGCTGGATGAGAGCAAGTGCAGGAAGAGATTGGTATCTTCAAATGTTCAGCCTATTTTATTTAAGTTTTATAAATATAAAAATTAAAATCTGTTTTCATTATTTGAAATTCATCCATCATTCTTGATGGGCATTTTGCTAGTACATACATACCACCCTTGGAGGTGTTCAAGATGAGGCTGGACAAGCACCTCGTCAGAGCCGTCCCTAGCGGTGTGCTGGGCCAGGGGCTGGTGTCCACCTGCAGAAGCTGGTGGCAGTTGCGGGGATAGAGTGGTGAGCGGCCAGGGCCAACAGTGCTTGGTAGCAGCAGAGCCAGCGGTACTCAGCAGCAGTGATGCATGATGGTCACAGTGGGGCCTGTATGGCACTGCCCGCAGGGCCCACCAAAGTGCGGGGCCTGAGGTAGATGCCCCAATTTCCCCCCTCCTCCCCAGGGACAGCCCTGCACCTTGTTGAGCTCCTCTGATCCCCTTACCTTCCTGCCCATGACAGAGGACCGGACCTGATGATCTTACAGGTCCTTTCCCATCCTTTGATCAGTGGCAATGCACAGGGGGTGCATGTATACACTCTGAGAGCACTGGCGCATGCCCTGACAGCCACCATTCCTGGGCATGGGGGGCAGGCGAGAGAGCTGGTGCCCTCTTGATAGCACTGGAAGTTCCTTTTTTTTTTTTTTTATCTTGTGCAGACCCTTGGAACATAACTGACATATGATAGGCGCCAGGGCTGTAAGTGAACAGTCACAAGCAATCCACCGTTTCATAGAATCATAGAAAGTGAGGGTTGGAAGGGACCTCAGGAGGTCATCTAGTCCACCCCACTGCTCAAAGCAGAGGGTTTCCTTGGCAGGCATTCACATCTGGCCTTTGGGACCCACAAAACTCGCATATAGGCTCCCTCCTTTTAGAGGGGGGAGAGAATAGGTTCCCTCACTGCTGCTGCAGACACTGTAAAGTCAATATGGCCCTTTGCCAAAAAGAGGGGTAGTAAATGGCATGAGAGGCAGCCTGGATTAGTGGCATAAACACAGACCAGAAAACAAGGAACTCCTGCTAGTCTCAGCCATGTTGCCGATTCATAGTGTGGACTGAGTCACATACCATAATCTTTCTGCTTTAATTTCCCCTTTGGTAAAATGGGGACAGCAATATCAAGCCCTCACCCCCACCCTAGGTGACTAATTGTTGTCTGCAAAGTACCAATATTCATGATAACACTCTCCAGAACCCACATCCAGCCCTTCAGTATCAAACTGAAAAATTGCTCTTGGGAATCCTAAAGTGATCCCAGCACAAGCATCTGGACTCCACTCCTCACTAATCTCACATTTTATACATAAAGGGAGTAGATTTGGTTTGAGGGTCTCTCAGCTGATACATATTCCCCCAAACCCTCAACCTACCCTGTGCACAATGAGTGAGTGAGGGTGAAGAAAAGTCTGTCCCATATTGGAGAGAGGAAAACAAACAAACAAAAATATACATATATATTAGTTCCATGGGCTAGTGTGTGCCTGCTGCTATTAGGCTTGTGTATCCAAGATGCTGCAAACTGTCAGCCGTCAGTGTACACTACACAAACACATGTGAATCAGGACAAAAATATCTTGAAATCAAATTAATGAATGTTTTAGATGTTTGGGGTTTTTTGTTTTTAGAATATAATTTGGTATTTTTCTGGTTCCGAGATGGCAAAACCCCTTACTGAAAGGAGTATTTCCAGGAACAGCCTGCCACCGGAGGTGGTTCAAGCGCCTTCATTGAACACCTTCAAGATGAAACTGGGTGCTTATCTTGCTGGGATCCTATGACCCCAGCTGACTTCCTGCCCTTTGGGCGGGGGGCTGGACTCGATGATCTTCTGAGGTCCCTTCCAGCCCTGATGTCTATGAAATCTATGAAACAAGGGGAGGGATTCTGGTGACTGCACAATAGCTTAAAATGAATTCTTACTCTTGTATGCTGTTG